AACACCGCGGCAAAACGCACTGCGCATGAGCACAAAATTTAACATCCGGTCAGCTTTTTATTTCCGGTCTAGTATATAAACCAATTGCGTAAGCATGACATTGCCGTCGCACCAAGTTTAAAAGCAAAAAGGGCGAAACAGACAAAAAAGGGGGCCAAAAAAATCACTTCAATCGAAAGCTTATATATTTTTCTAGTGTCAAACTTTTGCACCACATGGTTATCTGTTTGCACCAACGGTGAAAATGATGTTTGAAGTTTGCAGGTCGCGAGCGCTCGACAAGACGAATTTGTTTTCACTGGCTTTCTTGCATGCTACTGGTTTGGCATAAGTTAATTTGGGAGAAGGCGATAACTAAGAAAAGAATGGCAATACTTATGAAAGAAACCAAAATAAAGACGTCATCATTATCATTAACACTAGAATCAGGAAATAACATTTTAGTCTGTTCAACAACTTTTTTATTATTAGAGAAAACAAGAACTCAAAACAAAAGATGTGCGGGATTTAATAACAACCACGACTTTGATGACTGCAGTCACGAACACCCGGAGCTTTCAGTGCCGGGACTGTGCCTATAAAGACTTTCATTCAAGAAAATGCCTATTTAATTCTTTTACATGGTTGTTCTTTGGTTGTTCTTTGGTCGGTGAAGACTTCAATAATTTCAGACTGTGCGGCTCGGCTGCATCTCACGCAAACACCAAACTTTCAGCTACTAAATACATGGCATGAAATTTCGACTTCTAAAAGCCATCGAACCAGCTTTCGCTCTCTGATTCTGAGAATGAAAAAAATAAATAGAGTTGTCAACTTGCAGCCAACTTCAGCAGTATAATTAAGCTTATGTTTCATGGCAATCAACTCAGAAGAGTTTCGTTTCAAAACACGAAAATAAAAAATAAATAAATAAAGCTCGAATCTGCTTTAAGGCATGAAGACTGAGATACTGAAGAACTGAAAATTAGAACTACAATACACAAGCTTGCAACGATAACTTTTTATGTCTTAGTTTTAGCCAGGTTAAGTGAAAAATAACAGTCAAAAACTTTGTTTTCGTGAATGAAAATCAGTTTACCTGACGCTCTAGCCAAAATTACACACTGAGTTATTATCAACTTACCTTTTCTGAATCTAATCGACTAATTGTTTCAGTGATCTGTGCCTGGTTATCCATAAAAGCAATTTCAATAACTACGAAATAGTCAAAAACCCGAGCAGCATGAAGCAGAACAACTGAACCACAAGCTGCACACAGAATGAAGCCGAGAGCGCGCGGGAGACTTTGATCTGACTGGAAAGTGTGACTGAAAAAGAGACCGGAAATGCTCAACCTGGCGCATGCGTAGACGTTTTGCCGCGGTGTTGGTCAAGCCAGTTGTTTGATTTGCGCGCGCCGTCGTCAACTGACGTTCCCGTTCTGTTGCTAAATCAGCCTATTTATTACTATGCGACTGCACTACTATAGTTGGAACCTGGAACAGACTACTCCCGGGCACCGGCCCCACGGCGCCCTCTGGTGAAAAGAGTGATGATGATGATGATGACGATGAAGATGACGATGACGATGATGATGACGATGATGATGATGATGATTAATCTCGTACCCAGATCTCACTCTGTTTTACACTTGGCCGTGGGAGATCTTGGTACGAGATTAGATGATTATGTTAAAGATAATAAATGTGATACCGGATGATACTCGTAATAACCTTTACTCTTTACATAAATGTCACATATTACTACTTATATAAGGATGGGTTGCGAAATGCAAATGTGACACTCACTCCCCAGGGTTTGTAGACCATCTTCGGTTACGAAGTCGAGAGACTTTGCTGCCCGATATGAAAAGGATTGTCTTTGGCTCTTTTCTGCTGAAGTGTCGAATGAAATATCTCTCAACAGGAGAAGAAAAATTTCGTAAAGTCTTCAAGCGGCCATGTACCTGCATGTAATATCCTCTATTTATTATATAACCATCAGTGCAACACCAAACCATTTTACTGAAAAAGAAAAGCGCGATTTATTACGTAACCATGAACGGTCATCTCTTCTCATGTGAAGATAAGAGTGTCAATAGTTCTTCTTTACTTGTATTCTTCTTGTGGCTTTAATATGAACCCTATTTCAACTGCTCACTCACTAAATTTCAAGAAAAACAACAACAAAAACAGGAAACGTTTGTAGACAGGCTAGTTTTAGACGGTGCAAAGTCCCCTATTTTTCCGTATTTTTCGAGATCGAGCGCTTTGCGTTGAGGGCGACCATCTTGGCCCCCTCAGTAACCTGGTCGGTGCATATGAAACCAAGATGGCCTCCCGTACATAGCAAATGCTGGCTACAAAAAACACTCGGATTCATGGTTTTAAGGCGAAATATGCTTGCATTATAAACATGAGATACTAGGCCGAAAAACTGTTTGAATGCAGAGGTCCACGCAATGCGTAAATATAATGGCCTGTAATAAATCAGCCCTCTGCTGTAGTGCCAGCCCTGCATTCAGTTTTGTGTTATGAGCTACTAGTTACGGGGCCGACTGAGTGATGATCCTGTTTGGACCGACAGGGGTTCAGGTGTCCGTATGGACGGCTCCCTCTGGCAAGTCGAAAATGGAGAGTCACCCCGGGTTGGTTTGGCGGGTTTTTTAAGGCACATTCAACTACATGAGACCCGATTCTCTAGCTTATGTTCATTGTAACAACTTTAACTAAGCTAAAACGTGTTGAGACACTTTCATAAAATTGCACCCTTCTTGCATCGTAGACATCTCTATCCCCTAATCCTTTGTGCCCTTACACCATCCCTATGAAATCAATGTTTTAGTTTAAACCCCCAAGCCTTTCCTTACTGAGTACAAACAACAAAATTGATTCAGGGGTGGGGGAATTGGCAGCCTTTAAACAGGGTTGTATAAGAAATGAAAGAAATTTTTGATGAAAGAGCGAGGTTTGGACAATCTATTGTGTCCGCTACTTTTGTCCCTGATAGACCTATTCGGCTAACTCAATGTTGTATATTTTGTGGTTTCATTTTATCCTTGGTTTAAATTTTATTTTTCTTTGTTTCAAATTCATTATCATACATTGCCATATCCCAAAACAAAGGGAAATATAATTTAAACCAAGGACAAAATTGAACCACAACATATACGCAACTCAAAACCGGTTTTGTTTCAGGAATTTCCATATGATTTAAATGTGAATGCCACATTATAATGCTTATTCTACAACATGAGAAATTTCTGCAATTTGATTGGATTGGAGCAGTGATATTTCAGCTTAATTTGAAATACCTACATGTCAAAATTACAAACAGTTTGTGGGTAGTAGTATAAACAAATAATAGCATGATTTTTACATGATATTTGGCATAAATACCACTCGTGATATTTCAAAATTCTCTCAAATTTCACTCGCCTAACGGCTCGTAAAATTACGTATAACATTTTCGAAATAGCACTCGTGGTATATATGCCAAATATCACTACAAATCATGCTATTACCTATACAAATACAGTACACAAAGAATCTTAACCCCGGGGCTCGGTTCCTCGAANTAACGGCTCGTAAAATTACGTATAACATTTTCGAAATAGCACTCGTGGTATATATGCCAAATATCACTACAAATCATGCTATTACCTATACAAATACAGTACACAAAGAATCTTAACCCCGGGGCTCGGTTCCTCGAAAGATGGTTAAGTTTAACCCAGGATTAAACCAAATTTTAAGCCAGGTTTTCTTGTCTAAGAACATGCGACTCGAGTTTACAAAATGCTGTTGAACCTTTACTACGAGATAAGGTAATAATTACACAAAAAGTTACTCTACGCAACACATAGGAAGGTAAAATACAAAAACGGACAAAAAATTTAATCCTGGATTAGCGCTAATCGGCCTTTCAGGAACCGGACCCGGGAGATTTGAATTGGGTACAATATTGAGTTAGCCGAATAGGTCTATTGTAGTAGTTGTATCTGCATGACCTATATTACATATAGTATCCGAATAGCACAATCCATAATTACCAGTATTAATTGCCATTAAATTAGTAGAAACGGATATGGTTGCGCATACAAGCACGACGCACCGATACAATGATTGTAACTCTACACCACCCCACGCTCCACTCAGTTAACTGGTCGAGGAGAATTAAAAATATCAAATCACAAAAATGTTTTAAACTGAGTTGCACGTAGACATTCGCCTTTTTTAGCCTCAGTTAGTGCCTGAAAAAAAATGTTGAGTTTTCTCTTCTGAATTGTGTAAGCCTCCTTCACCCTCCCTCCCTAAAAAATAATCCCGGCGAGGATCGGGAAGAAGTAACTTGCCAAGACTCTTTAATAAACAGCAATGTTGAAACAGGGAGCAGCGAGTTGTTTTGAAGGTTAATTGACCCTGACACTGCTTAGAAACTGGATTATCCGTTTAACATAAGTCGTAACTGACCGTTATTTTTGCTCGAAATTTTACCTTTAATGCCATGTTGTTTTGCAGAAGACGCCGGTGAAATGTACAAATTTTTTTTTAGTACGTGCATTTGAAGTAACTCATTAAGCCTCTATTGTTTTGAAAACACGATAATCGTTGAGAAAAAATCCTCATCCTAGTTTCTTAGAGCGAAAATGATCCACGGTCTTTCAGCAGTCTTTTCAAAAACATTTGTAGATACCTCAACTGAAGTAAACGGGGTGTTTCTTTGACTAAACCGTGGCCTAAATATATCCTTGTTTGTTAACTGATTGACACCTGCCAAAAAAAGAAGACGCAGGAAACCAATCAAATTGAGAAGACTAATCACGTGGCTGCTCTCGCGCCTGACTCAAAATTTTTTTTCCGAGAGCTTCTTGCCACTCGGGTAAAAAAGTGTGAAGAAACGACATGTTACGAAAACTTGCGAGCAAAAAGGAGAGAAAGCGGGCTTAATAGCTTGTTTTGTCACCAGTTTGATTGCTGAAAGAAGGAAAATCCTAAGAAAAAACGTAAAGACCACCCAAGAAGTCTTTTAAAAGAAAGAAAATTTTTACAAGGTGAGTGTCTTAACTTTGCAAAGTTCTTGTTAAGTTGCAATTCAAAGGGAAACGTGTGACAAAAAACCCATTATTTCGTCGCACAATAAAGTTGTTTTCTCACAATTTAGAAATTTACTGAACACAGTAGCATGAATTTTTTATTGTTTTCTTTTTAGAAATTTTCAGTGGAAGCGAAAGAATTGTAAACAAGACAAGTACGCTCTCTTATAACCACCCGACTTCGCGCGTGGCGGGAAAGTAAGAGGTAAGACTTGTTTACCTATTTTTCATTACAAAAATATCATATTCCTCTTAGCTTTGTGCCCAAATAATTCGAAGAAACTATTTAACATTTACCTAGCGGTATTTTTAAGATGACGAGGCAAACATAAAGTAGTTAAAAACACTTCAAAACATAAGTAACATTTGGCGTTTTTCCTCACTGTGCAAAAAAGTCAGTTTATAACAAACCAGTTATTTAACACCAAGGCAAAAAACGTTTATCAGAAGAAAATACTTGAATTTAGTTTTGATAGTTGAAAGAAATTATACGGAAAAAGGAAAGTGCATTAATTTTTTTAACTTTAATATTTTCTCGCCTGAAGTTTTCTTTCAACTATTAGACATCAAAGTTTTTAGTGCGGTAAAGCGGCTCCGTTTCGTTAAAAGTTGCCGCTCTCGGTGACATTTTCTTTAAACTTTTTTTTGCTAAAAGAAAAGCTATGTTACGAGGAAAATGCACATTTTACACAGCGGTCAAAATTTTTTTACTTTCATTTTTGACCGGTTTGGTATAAAACACAGAAACAAAGCAATTGCACGGTGAGAAACTTTAGTACTGCATTTTCACAAACAAAAGCGCGCGTGCAGCCGCAACATTCATTTACTCAGAGCTTGACGAGTCGCCAAATAGTACAGTTTCTACAATGAAAAGGTAAAGAAATTACTGTTACGAATCTTAACGATTTTATTGCAGAACAATGTTTTTATGCGAAACTTCACCTTTCCCTTTGCCCAACTTGCCTTCAATTAGGTTAACTTTTCTTATGCTCCTTTTTAGCTTTAATTTAAACCCTGCATGAATATCAGTGGATACCTATCCCACAAATAGTTTATAAACAATAGCTTAGATTCGAGGGTTGTTTATTTAGTTAGCAGCGTTA